CAAAATTATAAAACATCCTGTCAAAATCCTAGTGGATTTTTTTTTTTTCCAGAAATTGACAATCTAGACCTAAGATTCATATGGAAATGCAAGGGATTCATAATAGCCCAAACAATCTTGAAAAAGACTAAAGTATAAAGACGGACACTTCCTATTTTGAAGTTTACTACAAAACTATAGCAATCAAGATAATATGATACTGGCGTAAGGACAGACATATAGGTCAAAGGAATAGAATCCAGAAATAAACTCTAACATGTATGGTCACTTGGTTTTTGACAAGGATGTCAAGATAATTCAGTAAGAATTGTCTTTAATAAAAGGTGCTGGGACAGCTTGATATCCACATGCAAAAGAATAAAGTTGTACCCCTATCTCCTACCATATACAAAAATTAACTCTGAGTAGATCGTGGATCAAATATGTCCAAGTTAAAATGATAAAACACTTAGAAGAAAACATAGTAGTAAATCTCCATGGCCTTGGGTCAGGCAATGGTTACTCAGACATGACAACAAAAGCACAAGTCACCAAAGAAAAAATAAACTGGACTTTGTAAAAATCAAAAACTTTTGCTTCAAAGGGCATCGTCAAGAAAGTGAAAAGACAACCCCACAGAATGGAAGAAATCATGTGCAAGTCTCATGTGATACCACTTCACACCCATAAGCATGGCTAAAATAAAAAAGACAATTACAAGTGTTGATGAGGATGTCAAGAAATTGAAACCAATGTTCAACTGTCGGTGGGAATGTAAAATGGCACAGCTGCTGTAGAAACCAGTTTTAGCAGTTCCTCAAAATGTTACACACAGGGGCGCCTGGGTGGCTCGGTCACCCAGTTAAGTGTCTGACTTTGGCTTGGGTTATGATCTCGGGGTCCTGGGATCGGGCTCCACATTGGGCTCCCTGCTCAGCAGGGAGTCTGCTTGTCCCTCTCCCTCTCCTGCTGCCCCTTCCCCTGCTGTACTCTCTCGGTCTCTCTCTCAAATGAATAAAACCTTTATATATATAAAAAAAATGTTACACATAGAGTCACCATATGACCCAGCAATTCCACTCTTAGGAATATACCCAAGAGAAATGAAAACATATGTCTATACAAAAATTTTATAGGAATAGCCATAACAGCATTATTCATAATAGCCAAAATGTAGAAACAATCACATGTCCATCAATTGACAAATGTATAAATAAAATGTGGCATTTTCAAATAACAGAAAATTACTTGGTGACAAAAGGGAATTACTGGTATATGCTACAAAATGGATGAACCTTGAAAATACTCATGTTAAATGAAAGTGGCTCACCACAAAAGACCATGTACATGTGATTCCATTTATATGAAATGTCCAGAATAGGTAAATTCATAGAAACAGAAAGCAGGTTAATGGATGCCAGGGGCAGGGGTGAGTGGGGGAATGTGTCCATAGGTATAGAGTTTCTTTTTGGGGTGATGAAGGTTATGGACAGATACAACCCACATGGACATCAAAATAGCATTCGGCACTGAAATATCATAATCACAAATGCAAGCTCTGACTATCCTCTTGTACAGAACAAATGATCACCACCAAAAAAAAGTTAATTTCAAGCTTCAACACAAGGTGGCCACTATAGAACTACCCTACCCACAGGTGCACAACCAAAATGTTACTGAGTGCCTGAACAGAACTTCACATGTTAATTGACTTCATATATGGCAAAGAACGTTTTACCTTTAGCGTTTTCAATGAAATGTGTCAGGAAAGGATAGAGTAATTAAAAAAGACAGTAAATCAGAATACAACTGGATTGTATTTTATTGGGAACAAATTTAATGACATTTTCCCTATGAAGTATCCAACTAAAAGGTGCATCTTCTTTACTACCTAAAACATTTTGGCAAGATGAGTTACTTCTGAATTCTTTTACCAAACCACAGAGCTGTTTCATTTTCTCTTTAATGATCTTTCACATTCCTGTGATCCTCTCCCCCTTTTGTTAACCTCAGAGACTTTTATAGGACAAAAAATTTTTTGATTACAGTCTGATGGTAAACTGGATTATTAAAGCTCTCTGCAGAAGATTCCAGCGAAGGATGTACCAGATTTTATTTAAGGATCATTACCAGACACTACATTTTTAACTTAAGTTTAGTTACCTCCTATCATAGGACTCCTTGTTTGTGTTAGAAACAATGGATGTAAGGGAGCTCAAACATTTGCCACCACTAAACAATTAATACAAAGCACTCCCAGAAAGCCAGACTGCGTTATAGGTGACGTGTCCTTAAAAGCTTAACATTGTAAATAACAGGAAAAGTACTTCAGGAAAAAGGGTTGTATAAATTACCTGAGAACTATACATTCCTCAGTGGTAGTTTTATCAATGTTAAAAAAAAAAAAAAAAAAAAACAAACGCAAAATTTGAAAGCCAAGTAAAACAATCATAGAATTTAGTAGTTTTATCTGAAGGCAAACTTTTAAAGTTTGTGACATAAGTCACAGTGACAAGTACCCTACTTGTCAAACTGGCATAATCAAGAGAACATTCTAAGAAAGGTGTGGTTTCTAGCTGAACCTTTTTCAAAAAGATTTTACTTTTAAGTAATCTCTACACCCAACATGGGCCTGGAACTCACAACCTTGAGATCAAGAGTCGCACTCCGCTGGGTCAGCCAGGCGCCCCCTTTTCTACCACTCTTTACCTTTAGTCAATATGACACAACAGCTCAGCATCGCAAAATAACACAACCTAGAAACACGTGTACTCAAACTTCTCTAGTACAGCATCACATGTGAGCAAGTACTGTCCGTAACCTCTATTAAGTCTGAATACTGAATAATTCTCTGAAGAGTGGCTAGTACATAGCATCAGGGAAATACTTCCTTTTTTGATGCTGGCAAAACAAAAGACCCACAAACCACAAAGTGTCTTGGTTCCTAACAAAGGTAAACAACTTTAAAATCAAAGGCAAAGGTTGAGAATAATCTAACCTCTCCAAAATACCTTTTAGTTTCATCATCACTACACTTGAAGTAGGATACGGTAATATGACATATGGAAGGCACAGAAAATGGGGACCAGAACTTAGTCTGTATCCCACCGGAGGTTAGTTGAGCACAGTATTTCAAAAGCAGTTTAAAATAAATGTTTGTGAACAGAAGGTCAAGGGGTGACCTGTCACATTTGGGTTTTGAGGGGGATGATTAGATGGAAGACAAAACAGAACGGATCTCAACTGGATATAAGGAACTTGAGCAAAATGGCAATAAAACACTAGACTTGCTTATTACTGAAAACTAGAATCACCATCTGGAGAATTTCAAGGAGTAAGTCAGCATCTATCTTTAGGACATTCCCTCAAGTTGAAAACAGGTAGCCCAGGTAGATGTCACCTGTAAATTACTCAGAGATTGCTATCCTCAACTAGTGGGCACTATGTATCTATGTATCTGATCAGAACTCACTCAAGAGACAGGATATGTCCTCTTCCCACTCTTCAAAATGCCAAGGAAATAAAGAGAACAGAGAAGCAAGGGCTGGGTGATTCAGGCTGCCAATAAAGGTTCGATTCTACACGGCCATTTGGGGAGTGGACTGCTAGTGATTTTTAAAAGCCTCCATGTGATGCACGGTTACTTTAGAGCTGCAGCTGCTAAGGCCCCCTCAGCCAGTCTTCCCCCACATACAGACCCACGATTTCGCACTGCATCATACAAGAGTTATCCCTCTGACTCTCGGCACCCCCTATGTCTACACGAGCATCTCTCAGCCTTTGATTTCCCCCCATTCTTATGATCCCCCCACACACCCCCCCCCGGCACTTTGACGAGAGAGATGATAAAAGGATGAGTAAGCATGCTGTAGCTGATCTTGGTCAAAGAGCACAGACCCTGGCACCGGCGGTGGAAAATGGGAGTGAGGAAGCAGAACAGAAAGCGGAGTCGGGGAGTTCATCCAGTGGGTAGCAGGCAGTTACAAGCTTTCCTACGGCAGTTATTGTTGCCTCCTCCTGCAATCACCGTAGACTCCAAACCTTCGCTTTCACCGCCCCCCCCCCCGATCAAGTGCACATTTTCCTTAGACAGTTACTTCTTAAAAACAACACTAAAAGATAAACGTGATTTCTCCAGGCTTCCGGTTGTCAAAGACAATAAAGCCTCGCCCTGGAGCATGGTTAAGTTCAACGGCTGTTTTCTCACTCGTCTTCCGGCACCCAGTCCACCCCCGACCCCACCACAGACCACCCCCGTTGGGCAAAAAGGCGACTGCCACGAACAGTTTCAAATATATGTCAACCTTTGGGGGGATGGGGGGGAACCCCAGCAAACTTCTGAATTACTTCAACAGCCCGGTTGCAAGTACCTGGCCTTATTTTTTCCCGAAGAAAAATAGGACACCGAGAAATCAGAAATCTCGTTTTCTCTGCCTTCCTACTTCGGTCGCCGGCCACATCTAGGGGGCTTTTCCGAAGAGGGCTCTTTCGGGTCTCTTCGGTAGGAAACTTGCCCTCAGTAGCCAAATGTCCTTTAGGTCCCTAAAACGCTGAACTTCGCCACGGATTGAAAAAAACCCAAGGTGCTGTTCCCTTTGTTAAAATCCCCCGGACTTTATTTAATTTGGGGCGGAAAGGCCGCGGGCAAGATCACGCCAGCCAGCAGCAAAGGGGTGGAGAGGAGACAGGTGCGACTGCTCCCTGCGGCGGTTCCGGCCGGGAGCAGACCCCCTCCGCCAGCTCGGCGGCCCCGGGCCACCCTGGACCTCCTCGTCTGCCCGCGGCCTCCCACGCACGTCCTCCCGAGCCCGGGCCGCCCCCCGCCGCCGCCGCCACCGCCCCGCGGGGCCCGGCCTCGCCGCCTCCGCTCAAAATGGAGGTGGCGGCGGGCGGGCGGCTGGTTACGAAACGCGCGGCCGCCACATGGCCGCGCCGACCCCAAACTTGGCCGGGCCGCCGCGTCCCGGCGCCCAGGCGAGGCTGGGCCCGGGCGCGGAGGCCGCGCGGCGCCCGCCACTCACCCACAGACCGGTAGCCCAGGATCGCGATCTTCCGGGACTTGGACTGCGGCATCTTGGCGGCCTCCTCAGCCCCGGGCCAACCACATCAACCGCGGCGGCAGCAGCGGCTCCTGTGCTGCGATCGGCGGCGGCCGCGCCGGGGCAGAGCGGCATCCAGGGGCGGGGCGGGCGGGCGCGGGCAGGCGCGGCTGCCTGGGCTCCTCGCTCTCGCGCCCAACCGCCCGGAACCGCCGCGCGGCCCCGCCCCCAAACACGCCCACGTGACCGCCGCCGCCGGCCCGGCCGCGGCTCGCGTCAGCACCGCCCTCCCCGCCGCGGCGGCCGCCCCCGCCCTTGAAACGCACGGGGGTGCGTGCGACGTTTTACTTTAAGGGGAAATAGAGGGGACGCCAAGATGCCCCCGGAAAAGTCACGACTGAAACTCGCTGCGTCATGACCCTCCCACCCTCTTCCGCCGCTGTTTAATTACGCCAATTCTCCCCGGGCGCTGATTGGACGATTCCCGCCCGCCCGCGCGATGACGCGGCGGAAACTCCGTCTCTGATTGGGGGTGGCTAGGAGGCGGAGCCTAGGGCGGGGCTGTTCGCCCACAGCTAAAAATAAATTCCGGCTGCGACCCCGGGGTTGAGCGCGAGTGAAGTTTGAAGGATTCCGACGTCTCAGGGGTGGGGGGCGGGTGTGAGGGGCGGAGAGAAACTAACTCCCCAGCGATTGGTTGGAGGAGGGCGAGGGGCGGGGCAAACTGTGGGGAGTGCGGTGATTGGTGGAACGTTGAGCGATTTGTGAACTCGCGCCCACAGAGCCCTTAAAAGGCGCGAGGCACGTAGCTCTTGCAGGCTGGGTTGTGGATTGGCTGCTTCCTTCTTGGTGTTTTTTTTAATTTTTAATTTTTTAACCCCTTCACTCTCTTAGAGTTAGTAAGACTAGGATTGAGGTTGTAGGTGGTTACTAGGCGTCAGCCTTGGATGAAAGATCCTGGGAAGAATGGAATATGCGTTAATTCCAAATCTTACACACTTCTCTACAAACGTGTGTGCCTCCCCAGTTCTGGTCTCGGCCTTGCCACGGGCGAACCCGGCACGCCTCACAGAAAATACCCAGCGCGATTCAACACCTCTTTACCTGTCAACACCTGAGTGGCTGATTAAGTAGGCAAACTCCAACACCAGCCGTCGCTGGCTGAGAACGCTCCAGAACCATCCTTGCGGGGGGTGGGGGAGAGTCAAGTCTGCTGGGCCTGCCCTCCTGTGCGGGCTGACATCTCCGGGAAGGGGACGCTGCTGTATTTCCCACAAAAAGCACACGGGCAACCCCTTTTTCCACTGGTGCTCGCGAAGAGCACGGGTGTTGGAGTAGGGGGAGGGAAGCCAGCGCTGGAGGCCTTCGTCATGGAAAATAAAGGTGGAAGCCAGGCCTGAGAAATGAGGATGCGCTTGGGACCTTTCCAGCCAGGGAGACTTCCATCATGCTTGAGCTTCATGCCCTTGGTGGTTGCTGAAGAAGCAGATACTCTTGCTACTCCTACAGATGTCCCCTACTGTCCTCAGGCTGTTTGACCGTGTTGGGACAACCACCTGCTGGTCACAGCCCTTCGCCTTTCCCAGGAAACCCAGAGGAGTTGCAGGATTGGATTCCTGGGTATGAAGATTCAGAGGTGTGACTGTCCCATAAATATGCCCTGTTGAGTTAGAACACTGGCATTAGGGCAGAATCCTTCCACCATCTTGCTGAAGTGCTTCTAAGAGAGGAATAGTGTGGGTTCACATCCTAGGAACTCTACAGATTGAAGTCCCAGACAACCAGCTGGAACTGAGAAATATCTGTGAAATTCTGTGTTTTGTCTTAATGGTTTTTGCATTCTACTCTATATTTAGTTGAGATATTTAAAAACTTCAGGTCTTAAAATGGGAATCTCCAGGAAAATGTATCATTTTTATCCCGTCAACTCGGATGCCCCTTACCACAGTAAACTGATGAACTGATGCTACTAAACTCCTTGGTTGGCTGTGAAATCAGATTTGTGGGTGTTACCTTTTATTTTCTTAAATAGAAGAACAGAACAGAAAACTGCTCGAATTGGTAAGTATTGTTTTGTATTGTTTCATGATGTTTTGTTGTGTGTATATGTATTTGTAAATGTGTGATATGTGTTTTGGGTACTGAGTTCCATTGTAAAATGTATTTCTTACTGTGAGTTGCCTCACAGAGTTTGAAAGTGTTGCCCTAGCCTGGGAATATTAGGAGTCCAGACTGAGAAGCTCCATTGTAAAGGACAGAGTCCTTAAAGAAATGTTCCAGGTGTCCTAAAGTCATTAAGGTCAGACCCAGGAATTGTGAAGATTCCATTAATCCAGAATGGGGAGAATTTATTTGGTTTAAGAAATGACTCCGGTTCCCTAAAATTACTTGTGATTGACGGTGTGAATTCATGTAGAAGTGACTGACTGCAGCCAGACCTTACAGGAACATGGTGGGGAGAAACGTGCTTGCTTCTGAATTCAGAGTAGTTCTACTGATTGAGATCACTTGTTAACTGTCTAAGCAGCTGGAACTTCGGCCACCAGTCAATATCTCCTCTGCAGGTTCTGCTTCTTCAGGACCGTTCTGTCTTATGGTCTCTGCATGCTGCCTTCCCTCTGTGTGTCCTTCCACTATATTCCATTTCCCTGGGATCTAAGAATTCTGTCTCTTCCATTTAAATTCCAGAGAGAGGACATGATTGGTTCAGCTAATTACCACTATCCCTTGAGTGAGGAGCTCAGGCTAAGCCTGTAGATTTGCCAGGAAAGCCTCCATTGGCCTAAACCTCCAGCATTGCTGGGTATGGCAATTAATGGCATTTTTTTGAAGCATGAACTCGTCGTTATTATGGGAAAATTATAATGTCCAAGTTCAATGACCTCTTATTTCTAGCTTCAACATTTTTTTTAAATTCCCTGTGGTACTATACAAAACTTATTTTTATCTAACACTAGGTTAGACAAAGAGTAAAACTGCTGTGCTTGCTTTTGCTAAAAGGACTTTGGGAAATGATTTTACCTTTTTACATGTGAAAGGGTGACCCTAAGTGCAAGTGGATATGAAGGCGTTTTGTTGTTTTTGTTTTGCTTCTCAATATTTGATGAAGACTGGAAAAGAGCTACTCTTAATCATGGCATAAGCTGAATTAGACTGATCTGTTACGTCTCGCTCATATAGGGTATTATTCAAATCAAACAGTGCAGATTTGGGGAAACAGGCCAAGGTCATTGCATTGTGTGGTCTTATGGATGAGAGAGTGGTTTTCTCAGCAGGATCCTGATAGGCCTGTCCTCAGCATCCTAGCAGGAGGCCATCCTAGGGAAAGCAAGTCCCCGACCTGCACTGGGATGAAAAAGATCCTTTTCTCTCTGATGCCTGGGATCAGTCTGGCTCAAACCCTGAGGTACAGAGTTGCATGGGATGCCCCCAGAGGCGGGAAGTGGAGTAAGGCTCTTAGGTCCATGGAGGTAGGCCACGCGTAAGGGAGGAAGTTGGCTCAGCAAGGAACTCTGAGGACAGGTTTAGATACATGCACTAGTTGTCAATTGTTTGCAGCTGTTAGAGGTTGAACGTGTCCTTCAAAAAGGTGGGCCCAACTCCAATATGACTGGTGTCCTAAGAGGAGAAGAGACTCTCACACAGACACAGGGCCCACAGCCACGTGAGGACAGAGGCGGGGACTGGTATGATGCTGCCACAAGCCAAGGAACACCTGGGGGTCCCAGAAGCTGGAAGAGAATAAATTTATGTTATTTTAAGCTACCCAGCTTGTGGCACCTGGTCACGGCAGCCTTAGAAAACGAATTAAAAAAAAAATCCAAAAAAAAGAAAAAGAAATCCATCAGTTATCCTCAAATCATCAGTAAAGTTTCATTAAAAGTTTGAATCTAGTTTCTGCTGGGCCGTGAATGAAATTGGCCTCATCCCTAACCTCCAAAGCCAGAGTGCACCCCGTAGGAGCTTTCACCAGTCCCTGGTAGTGGTCAGGCAAGATGGCTGGAGCAGAACACCTGTTCCTAAGAGCCTGGGGGATGCTTGAGACGAGCCAGGAGGCTAATTCTGTGCAATAAAACAGGTGATGGCTTGTGCCAGTCAGGCTTGGATTATATAAGCTCTTCAACTGCATATTAGATGTGGAATTTATTCACGGTGTTCACAAGCTACCCGAAGTTATAATTACTGTTTGAGGAACGTGTTCACTGTTGGTTCTTCCTCCTATGGGAAGACATCTCAGTGTGGGGTTTATTCTAGCATGTTGGGATCCAGGGAGTTTCTTTCATTGGTGTGCAGGGAAAAAAAGAAAAACAAAATTTCTATTTTTTTAAACATTTTTTATTTTTAACCTTTTTTTTTTTTTACAAAAAAGTCAAAATTGACAAGAGCATTTAAAATATAGATTCACATCCACATCATTAATGATGACTAAGTATAATTACATCTTGATGTTAGCTAATGATACATAGTGAGTATCCCTTAACAAACAGCAAGATGTTTAAAAACTAAGCATCCAAAACACTAAGGCAGACTTTATAAAGTTTTTCTGCAACTTTTTTTGGGGGGGGGGGATATTTCAAGCATATATATAAAACTAGAGAGATTGGTATAATGAGCCCCACACAGCCTCTTACCTACTCAGTATTTACTGAATCATGGACCATCCTGTTTCATCTATACCATACCTGCTTCTCCCACCCGCCCATGGATCATTTTGAAGCAAATCCTAGACATCATTTCATTCGTAAATGTCAGTATTTTCCCTGAAAGATGACTCTCTTTAGAAAATAAAATGTACCATTTTTACACCTAAAACAAAACCAGTTAAGGACTTTTTAATACCACCAGATATCCAGACTATTCGATGTCTTTTAATGACTCATAATTTAACTGTTTATTCAAATTCAAATCCAAAAAAAAGCCCATATAATGCAGTTTGTTGCTATATGTCTTAAGTTTTTAAAAAATAAACTTTATTTTTTTAGAACAGTTTTAGATGTACAGGAAAATTACAAAGATAGTATAGAGAGTTCTATGCTTTGTGCCCAGTTTCCCTCATTCTTAACATCTTACATCAGTGTGGTATATTAGTTAGAATTAACCAATATTGCTACTCTATTAATAACTAAAGTCCATACTTTATTCAGATTTCTAAAGTTTTCTCCTAATGTCCTTTTTCTGTTGCAGGATCCCACCCAACATTTACTCATCACGTCTCCTTAGGCTCCTTTTAGATGTGATAGTTTGCTCAGACTTTATTTTTTGATGACCTTGACAGTTTTGAGGAGTGCTGCTCAGGTGTTTTGTAGATTGGTATTTGTCTGATATTTTTCCCAGGTTTAGACTGGGAATTTGGGTTTGAGAGGAAGACCACAGAGGTAAAGTGCATTTCCATCACATCATATCAAGGGTGCAGGCTATCAGCGTGGCTTATCACTGTTGATGTTGACCTTGATCTCCTGGCTGAGGTAGTGTTTGTCAGATTTTTATACTTTTTTTTTCTTTTCTCCACACTGCTTTCTTTGAAAGGGAATTACTGTGTGTAGCCCTCACAAACTGGGGAGTTAATTATGCTTTACCCTAGTTTCCTTCTACCTGAAGAATTTCCTTTGGCATTTCCTGGAGTTTCCTGGCAACAAACTCAGCCTTAACTTATCTGAAAATTGTCTTTATTTCATTTCTTTAACTTTTTATTTGAAATAATTATAGATGGAACCGCCTTTGTGGCTCAGTTGGTTAAGTGTCTGCCTTCAGCTCAGGTCATGATCCTGGGGTCCTGGGATCAAGCCCTGAATTGGGCTCCTTGCTCAGCAGGGAGTCTGCTTCTCCCTCTGCCTGCTGCTCCCCTTGCTGTGCTCTCTCTCTTTGTCAAATAAATAAAATCTTAAAAAATATATATAGATAGTTTTAAAAATAGTACAGGGCAGTCCTGTGTACCAATATCCCAATGGTAACATCTAACATAAATATACTGTAATATCAAAACCAAGAAATTGAAATTGATACAGTCCACAGAACTCATTCAGGTTTTTACCAGTTTTTCAAGCACTTGTGTTTATGTGGTTTTATTCAATTTTATTACATGTGTAGATTTGTGTAACCAAAACCATAGTCAAAATACAGAGCTGTCCCATCACCACAGAGATCTTCTCATGTTATCCTTTTATTTCTTTTCATTTTTGAAACACTTTTTTGCTGAATTTAGAATTTTAGGTAGATAGCATGTGTTATGTGTGTGTTTTAGTACTTTAAAGTTCCATTTTCTTCTGGCTTCCAATTTTTCCTAATGAGAAATCAGTGATTATATTATTTCCTTTATGTAATACCTGCTTTTAAGACTGTAAAATTTTATTTTATTCTTTTTTTTTTTTTTAAAGATTTTTATTTTTATTTTTGACAGAGAGTGAGAGTGTACAAGCAGGGGAAGCAGCAGGCAGAGGGAGAGGAAGAAGCAGGCTCTCCAAGGAGCAGGGAGCCCGATGCGGGGCTCGATCCCAGGACCCTGGGATCATGACCTGAGCCGGAGGCAGACGCTTAACAACTGAGCCACCCAGGCGCCCCTATTTTATTCTTTTTATTTTTAAAGATTTTATTTGAGAGAGAGCATGGGCAGGGGAGAGGGGTAGAGGGAGAGGTAGAAGTGGGCTCCCCACTCAGCAGGGAGCCCAACATGGGGCTTGATCCCAGGACCCTAGGATCATGACCTGAGCCAAAGGCAGAGGCTTAACCAACTGAGCCACCCAGCGCCCCAAGACTGTAAAATTTTAAAGATTTTCTCTTTATTTTTGGTGTTCGGAGTTTATGATGTGTTTGTAGTTTTCTTCGCTTTTATGCCATGTGAAGTTTACTGAACTTCTTAGATTTGTGAGTTACTATTTTTGATCTGATTTGGAAAATTTCCCAGTCAATATTTCTTCAAGTATTTTTCTGTCCCATACTCTGTCCTTTTGAGACTCCAGTTTCAGACATATTAGACACTTTGATAGTGTTCTGCCAGTCATTGAGCCTCTGTTTGTTCTTTTCTGTATTTTCCCCCCTTGCTAATTTAGTGATTTTTAAAAGAA